TTAGTTCCTTAAAATGCATACCCATGTATTACCCCAGTAAATGTAAATAAGAAAAAGGTTCAGATAGCAGGAAAAAAAGAAATATTTTAATTTTTAATTAAGGTTTTTCCCACTGATAAAAGTTTTTTCAATTTCCATCCAACATCTGCAAAAAAACTTTATGATCCAAACTGGTACAGAGGTATGAAGTCCTGCAAAAATGCTTCACCTCTATTAGTTTAGTCCCAATGATTAAAATCTCCCAAATCATGTTACTAGTGAAATAAAACATTCAGCCTTAAGCAAAGCAGTATCATTTCTCTAGATACTTATCTTTGCCATGCAAATGACTGGGACATTTATATATCTATACTCGACCTTAACCCAAAAGGATTTGAGGTGAAAAAGGCTAGAATTATTTTCCAATTTTACAATTCTAAGATTCTATTAAAATAAGTAAACTAAAAATAATGGTTATACATCAGCACACAGCTTACACATGAATCATCAAAAACAGATGTAAATTGGGGTGATGAGAATGTTCTAAAATTGATTGTGATAATTATGGTACAACTCAAGGACTGTACTAAAAAACCACTGAAGTGTACACTTTAAAAAGGTGACTATGTTATATGAATTTCATCTCAACAAAACTTATTATAAAGATGTACAGTCATGCACCACATAACAATGTTTCAGTCCACGATGAACCACATTTCCAATGGTGGTCCCATAAAATTATGGAGATGAAAAATTCCTAATAACACCTAGTGATGTCGGGGCCATTAAACACTATAGCAATTGTTCACATGTTTGTGGTGATGCTGGTGCACACAAACCCACTGCACTGCTAGTCATATAAAAGTTCAGCACGTACAATTATGTACAGTACATAATACGTAATAAATGACTGTGATTAATTTATGTATTTACTATACTTTTGTCATTATTTTAGAATGTACTCTTTCTACCTACAAAAGTTTGCTGTAAAACAGTGTGCCATGCTACACCAACAGCAGCCTCGCACATCCCATGCTTACCCAGTCTCTTGATTGCATTTTCTCTTGTACTTGATTTAATCTCGTTTTGTGCAGTAACATGGTATACAGGCTTGTAGCCTAGGAGCTAAAGGTTACACCACAGAGCCAAAGGGTGTAGTAGGCTGTAGTAGCCAGCGTTGTGGAAGTACACTCTACGACAAAATTGGCCAATGACACCTTTGCCAGAATGTATCCCAGTCGTTAAGTGGCACATGACTGTAAATGCTCGTAACCTTGGAGCACTCTTAGGCATAACACTGTATTTTCTAGAACAACAACAACTAATTCATGATCTCAGAGCTGCCAGGGGTTCTTTAGCTCTTTAGGCTTGGTCCCCCAGCAAATGGGGGTGGGAGAGCAAAGGTCAACATACCAAACTTTCCTTTGAAAAAGAGAGAAAAAGCAAAGATTTTGCATTCTAGTGAATGTTTTATTGTGTCTATCCTCAACCTGAATGGATTTTTGGCTGAGCCTCTGCTGAGGACATGTGGTGAATCTGAGCTCCCCTCACAATCAGATGTGTCACCCCATAAATATCCAAAGTAACAGTGGCAACTACCGATGGCACTCCATAGTGTTATCATTTTATGTGAAGAACAGGTTCATGCATTCATTTATCACTTGTATAATTAAAAGTTAAAAATTAAAGAACAAGACTTGTCTAAGAGACTGCAGTTTTCTCCATCTGCCTATTATGTGCTGGAGATGCAGCCATGAATAAGACAGGCCAGGTCCCTGGCCTCAAAAAACCTGCACTCTAGAGGCAAAGACAGACAATATTCAAACACAGACACAAAACCAACAGTACATCAGTGCTCTAAGAAACAACAGGGCAGAGTGATGATGTAGGATAGAGCATCTTCAGCACAGGTGGTCAGAAAAAGCTATTCTAACCTGCCTGATGTATGTGAGGAACAAAATACTGTACCACTGGTTGCTGGGACTGTGAGCAAACAGGGAGGGCTGGTTGGGTTGTTTGCTTTTTGAGTATGATGTGAAGAGATCAGAAAGACCAACTGCAGTTCTTACTCTAGACATGAGAAGCCACTGGAGGGTTTCAAGAAAGGACCTGCTCTTACTTTCTCTGCCAAAAACAATATCTAAGAGTAAGTCATAGCCAATACTACTATAAGCAACGGAAGCTAGCTTCCTATAAAAGAGCAAAATGACCAAAGGAACATGAAGAATCTTTGGGGGTGATGGAGACATTGTATGTTCTGACTAGGTTCATTGTTATACACTGAGCTTACCAAAATCCAAAGAACGGTACACCTAGAAAAGATAACTTTTACTTTCCGTAAATTGTACCTCAAACAAACAAAAAGCTAAGTAAAACTATCAGCAAAGCCAAAATAGAAATAAAATGTAATCCTGTAAGTGACTCCCTAGGCTTTTAATGAGGAAGTTTTTTTTTCCATATTAAACAATTTTTCTTTATTACATATTCATTTAAATAACAGATATTTCGATACTTTCACTAAAATGATGTTTTAGAGTCTATGTCTACAGTGTAATCCTGGACAACAGGATTATAGAGAAATTTAAAACAGTATCACCAATTTCAAGGGAAAACTCACACATAAAGCTGTTTGGTAATAGAGGTCACTGGTTATTGAGCCCCTAGATACATAAAGCTTGCTCTCCAAGTTCATCATCCATCACTCAAGCTTTGCACTTGACCCCTCAGTAACACACCCTGCCATGCTGATTTGCATTTTTTCCTTTTGTTTACTTTCCCTCTGCCTGGAATGCCAATCCCCTCTTGAACATGAGGTTAAAACTACTAGTCCTTTGGCAAAGCAAAGCCTTTCCTCCAGAACCCTCCCCTGAACTCTAGGCCAGGCTAAATGCTTCTCCTCAGGAGCCATCTGTTACTGAAACGCTGTTTTCATGTATCTGTCCCTCCCCAGATTACACACATTCTTGTGGAAAGATTTCGTATCTCATATTGTTTTTATTCTCAGTGCCTGACAGTGTCTAATACAGAAAAGATGCTTGATAAATGCAGAACTAAACTCGCTATGTGCCAAGCACTGAACTAGGCTCTTTACATATATATTTCAAGTTAGAAAACAGATTCTTAAACTTAAATAGCTAGTACAAGATAGGAGATTAAATCCAGCTCAGGCTAGGAAGTCGAAGCACACTCTCTTCCACTGCCCTAATAGTGTAAATGGTATTCAAGATAAGTGGTTGAGATTTT